AACTCTTAAGCCATTTATTGAAAATTACAACCTACAAAAACTGACTTCAGATATTTAAAAATTTACAAAAACAATACATCTATATTGTTCATATACCATCTAGTCTTGGTAGTTTTTGGTCTCCTTTGATTCTTTTTATTGAGTGTTGTTAATTTCATATTTTCCTTTTTATAACAGAGTAAACCAATCATATGATGACAACTCATAACTCTATTACATAGTGGGCTTTTTTTTTGTATTAGGGATTGAACCCAGGGGCACTTTACCACTAAACCACATCCCCAGCCTTTTTATTTTTTTATTTTGAAACAGGATCTGGCTAAATTGCTTAGGGCCTTTCTAAATTGCTGAGGCTGGCTTTGAACTTGTGATCCTCCTGTCTCAGCTGGGATTACAGGCGTGTGCCACCACACTCTACTACATATTGTTTTTTCTTGTATGTGGTACTGGGAATTAAACCCAAGGGTACTTTACTCCTTAGATACATCCTCAGTTATTTTTTAAATTTTTATTTTATTTTTTTTGAGAGAAGGCCTTGCTAAATTGCTAAGTTGCTGAGGTTGGCCTTGAATTTAAGATCCTCCTGTCTCAGCTTCCTGAGTTGCTGAGATTAGGTGTACACCAGCATAGTTTGCTTTTTCATTAATGCATATTTGTTCTAAAGCAATTAGATTGACTTTTAAGGTTATGATGTAAAAGCCTTAGGCCTTTTCACACAGATCCTATAAGTCTTTTATCCATTGTTCAATTACAGTCAAGCTCCTGAAGAGTATAAATGTGCAGTTAGACAATTTAGTTAATTCTGAGACATGCACAGGAATATTTATCTACAAATTATATTCATATGCTTGGGGGAGGAGGATATTTATCCCAGGCTTATTTCTTATCTTGATTATCTTATAAAATGATTTGCCTTTTGTGTCTATTGTTAGTACTTTTGTATCACTTCAGCTTATCATAGTTATCTTCTTCCATTTCTCTTTCCTGCTAAGCATCCAATATTTGTAGACTCGGTGCATTCATATATAGTCCCTTTATCAAAGGTAAGTTTTTCTCCCTGTTATGTTTAGCCAGTTCATTACTTACTACCTACTATCCAATTAATTATTCCTCATTCTTTAGGTTTTAGTTTGTTACCTCCTCATGGTGTTTCTCTCCTTTTATTTCTTTATTTAAGAAGCTCCCTGAACCCATACCTTGCTTTTATTTTTTTATCACTTCACAGTGTGTATTTCTTCATGGTATTTATTATAATGTGTAATTATCTTGTTTATTTCATTGCCTTTTTATGTCTCTACCTATTTGAACATAAAAGCCAGGTAGGCACATGAGATCTGTTTCACCTCGAGTACAAGGCCCAATGCCTAATATACAGTAGAGTTTCAACAAACATTTGTCAAATGAGTGATGTCTTATGTGAGTTGGAGTGGAATTTTGTAGTCTTCTTGAGGGATGTGTGTGTGTGTTAAATTTTGATTGCCAATTATAATCTTTTTTTTAAGGATTATTTCCTTAATTGATGACTACTAATTCAGACACGGATAGTTTACATCAGCTTCCTGACTCAAACCTATTAAATGAACCAGATTTTGTAAAGTATTTGAACCTGGGAGCCTTATCTTATTTGGACCTTGATGTTCTAGAGCTTTCTGGACCACAATGTACTGTCTTTCATAGCTTGTGTTTTATAATAGCTTCTGGCCTCAGGTGGTTGTTGAGCTTTTGAAATGTGGCTAGTGTGAAGTGTCATGTATTGTAAGAACAAAAAACACACCAGATTCAGAAAACTTAGTATAAGAATATAAGTAGAGCATTAATAATTATGTTATATACTCATTAAAATGATAATCATTTGGATATGTTGAGCAAAAATAAGACATTAAATTAATTTAATTTTTTCTTTAAACTTTTAAAATACACTATTAGAACATTTAAAATTATTTAACACATATTTAATTTGTGGCTCAGATTGCATTTCCATTGGGAATTTCTAGACCCATGTAGCTCACTCCAGTTGTTTGACAATGAAGCTTGACAGGGATCCACTGAGGGGGATTATGTTGTTGCATAAGCCTCTCATAGTCTGCTCCTCTCTTGTTAGATGTTGTATTAGTTTTTTGATTTCTGGGACAAAATACTTGAGAAAAACAACTTCAAGGAGGAAAGATTCACTTTGGCACATGTTTCAGAAGTTTCAGTTCATGGTCAGCTGGCTCCGTTCCTTTGGACCTGAGGCAAGGCAGAATATCACGACTGAAGGGGATGGTAGATGAAAACTGCTCACCTCATGGCAGCCAGGAAGCTAGAGGTGGAGAGGAAGAGGCCGAAGATAAGATATAGCCTTCCAGGCCATGCCCCATGATGCACTTTCTCAAATTAGGCCTTACCTCCTACAGTTTTCATCACCTCCCATTAATGCTATCAAATTATTCAATGTATTAATTCACTACTGAGGTCAGAGCCCTCATGAATAAATCACTTCCCCCAAACCCCATCATTTGAACATCACTGCATTGGGGACCAAGCCTTAAACACATGAACCTTTGATGAACATTTCAGATTTAAATATAACAGATGTGTACTAGAAGGAGAACTGGAATCCTGGATAATGGCTTAGGAGGTATTCCAGCACTACCTAAATGTCAAATCCTGAGCTCAGATATGTTTGTATCTCAAGATACAGAAAGTTTACCTGTCTTATCAGTGCTACAAAACAATAGAGGGATTAGAACACAGGTATTTTGATTAAATGACTTCTAGGGGGACCTCTTAAAAAAGAATATCTTCCTTTTTAACTTAGGTACTAGAAAAATTGAAAGAATTATTAATAGGTTATGTAGGTTTTCTAAAAAATCAGTTAACGAGGAAATTATACCTTAGTTTTTAGATGGTTAAGTAAAAGAAAAATCAAAATGTATACTGTAGTAAATTAAACAAACAGAAACTAATTCTGTAATTATTGCTATAAATACTATAGTAAAACATTAAACTGAAATGAACTTTACTTATCATAGGAGCATACATTGCAAAGCAAAATTTAAACAAAAAGTCGAATATGAACATGAAATCTACTTGTAAGTAAATGTAAGTTTAATAACCCATTCTTTACATAGCTATAAAACCTGCTTGGAGACCACGAATTGCAGTTTGGAAAACTGGTTGCTATAAGTTATTCCTAAAGCACTCATTATTGGCATATGAGGCAGACTTCTCTTGAGGTAAGGAAATGAAGTTTTAAATAATTGGCTTCATCATCATGACCTTCTGGTTCATTCATCAGTTTGGCAAATATTTAGTGAGAAGCTACCATGATCCAGGTGCTCAATATAGTACAGTGACCAAGGTTGAAAAAGATTTTTGCTCCTTTGAAATTTACATTTCAGTGCCTAAGTATTGTTATGGTCTGTATAAAGTTTGTCCCCAAAGGCTCATGCACTGGAAGCTTGATCCTCAGTGTGGTGATGGTGGAAACTTTTAAGAGGTAGTGCCTAGTCAAATTAATGAGTTCATTGGGATTCTACCCTCATGAAGGGATTAAAACTTTCTTGAAAGTGGGTCAGGTTGCATGGGATTGGATTAGTTCCTACAAGAGTGGGTTGTTATAGAAGAGTCAGTTTAATCTCTTGCTTCCTATTCTGTTATATGCACTCCCTCTCCCTATTCCTTATTGTCTCAAATATGATACCATTTCCATGTTCTGATGTAGCCAGAAGGCCTTCACCAGGGGACAAAATGATGATGATGCCTGATCTTGAACTTTTAGTCTTCAAAACTATGAGCTAAATAAGTATCCTTTCTTTATATATTATCCACTGTCAGTTATTTTGTTATAGTAACACAAAACAGACTAAGACAAGTATTTCAACAACAGGATGAAATGAAATGGTACACTAAATCTAAGAAGAGTTATCCTGGAATGCCAGGAGTAACATTTTTTTTTGTTACTTGGGAATTAAAAGTGAATTTAGGATGGTCTATTTGTCTTTTTTTTCTTTCTAATTTTTTTTGTCTTTGTTGGGAAACTTGAAAATAGAGGTGCATAAGCATTAGATGTCTACTATATTAATCTATTAACAAGATTCAAATAAAACAATTAGACTGTGTTAAGTGATTTCCAAATAATTTAGGGAAATACAGTTCTTTCTTCTACATGGACATCTCAACCTTATAACTAATCAGAAGTCTCAGTTCTTACCTATCAATTCTAGGAAACCCCAGTCAGAAAGATTTCCCTTCTTACCCAACACAGATGCACTTTTTTGCATTCTCATTCTCTCACAGTCACATGTTGTGCCCCTTTGACATATTCTCTCCCTTACACATCTTTATGTTCCTACGTTTTTCATAGGTTCCCCAATCCTAGATCCCAAGAAGAGATTTCTTATTGTTTTGTTCCTAAAGTTCAACCAGTAGATGTCTCCATTACTCTCCCAAAGCTGAGACCAGCCTCAGCAAGTAGGTTTTAATCATTTCTTTAACCGACAACAAGGAAGAAGATTTGATAATTTGCCTAAAAATGAGCAGATTCTCAGGAGGACACATCTCCATCCTACGTTCCTCCCTCCCAGTTTCAGTCAAAAATGAAAACTACTCTCTTCTCCCTCTTTTCCAGGCAAAAGAAAAGGCTGATTTAACTAAGAATTCAAGACACCAACACCCTCCTCCTCATTATGTCCAAGTTTCCTTCGCTCTGAGCCACCCAAAGCTTGCTTCTCCCTCACTCCCGCCCACTCTTCCCTATCCCACCCCTGCGGGTTTCCGAGTCATCGGTGTACGCGAGTGGGTGAAAGGACTCTGCGCGGCTGCCTCCCGCGCCGCCGCCTGCTCCTCCGCCTCCTCTGTGCCGCCTCGGATTCAGCACTGGACAGCTCCCGCCCTAGCCCAACAAATGGCAGTCAGCTGATTGACAGCAGAGCCGACCAAACAGGGAGCAAGACGGCTTGAAGCCGCCCTCCAAGGGTTTGGTTGCGGCCAAGCTGCCTCTTTAAACTGGCTTTCCTCCCGAGAGCAGGGAGAGGCGGCAGTGTGGTTTGTGGCCAAACCTAAAGGCTCCAATTAACCAGCTGCCTGGTCCCTCCCGACTCCAGAGAAACAGACGTCTTAAAAGAAATCTCCGCTCCTTGGGACTCTCTTCTACGCTCGCCGTGCAGTTCTGGGTGCGCGCTCCCTGCCTCGGGGCCAGGGGGTCGGGAGGAGCCAGAGCAGGGAGGCGGGAACGACCTGCCACGGGTGAGATGATGGAGCAGCGTCTTCGGCAGCCGCGGTGGCAGCAGCAGCAACAGCAGCAGCAGCAACAGCAGCAGCTCTTGAACACACCTCAATGAGAGCGGCGGTGGCAGAGGCTGAGCAGAAAGACGTAAGCAGGCTAACTATAGCTGCCCGGAGCGCGAGGGGATGTAACCTGGTCTGCTCCAGGCTGCAAGGTGCGTAATTCCCAGCCGACCCAGTGTGGAGCGGGTGCAGCCAGTATTGCCACAGGTGATTTGATTTCCTGTAACCGCAGTTTAGCCAGCTGGGCCAATTTCGAAACATTTTTATTTGAAAGTCTTTTTGGACTGGGAGCCGTCTGGAGAAGAAGGGAAGATCCCCTAGTAAAAGTCTTACTGTTGATAAATTGACGATCGAAATTAAAAAAGTGACTCCTCCTGTTACCTCCTTTCCTCTCTGCGAGACAGATGGGAGCCATGGCTCACCCCTTACTCCTCTGCCTCTTGCTCGCTCATCTGGGACTGGGAGCTGTTGGCGCCAGCCGCGACCCTCTGGGACGGCCGGATTCCCCTCGAGAGAAGACCCTGAGGGGGAAACAGCACGCGCAGCAGCTGGCTCGAGCTTCTGCCTCGGACCCCTCGGCTCCCTGGAGCCGCTCCACCGACGGCACCATCTTGGCGCAGAAACTCGCTGAGGAGGTGCCCCTGGACGTGGCCTCTTACCTCTACACCGGGGACTCCCACCAGCTGAAGCGAGCCAACTGCTCCGGCCGCTATGAGTTGGCAGGCCTGCCGGGGAAGTCGCCAGCCCTAGCTAGTTCCCATCCCTCCTTGCACGGGGCGCTGGACACGCTGACACACGCCACCAACTTCCTCAACATGATGCTGCAGAGCAATAAGTCTCGGGAGCAGAACTTGCAGGATGACCTGGAGTGGTACCAGGCGCTGGTACGGAGCCTCTTGGAGGGCGAGCCCAGCATCTTTCGGGCGGCCATCACCTTCACCACGGAGTCTCTGACCGCGCCGGCCCCGCAAGTCTTCCTCCAGGCCACTCGTGAAGAGAGTCGCATCCTGCTCCAGGACCTGTCCTCTTCTGCACACCACCTGGCCAATGCCACTCTGGAAACCGAGTGGTTCCACGGCCTCCGGCGCAAGTGGAGGCCCCATTTACACCGCCGCGGTTCCAATCAGGGGCCCCGGGGCCTGGGCCATAGCTGGCGGCGCAGGGACGGACTTGGCGGGGACAAGAGCCATGTCAAGTGGTCTCCGCCTTATCTGGAGTGTGAGAACGGGAGTTACAAGCCAGGATGGCTGGTTACTCTTTCGGCTGCCTTCTATGGGTTGCAGCCTAACCTGGTCCCAGAATTCAGGTAGGGAGAGAAAAGGGCAAGAGTAAAGTCGTTCTTCCGGTTTTGCGGGTGGGTGCCTACGTGGGGGAAGAATGCTTAACTCTCTGTGACACTTACGTTTCCTACCGTCAGAGCAAAGACATAGGCAGAAGGATACCGCAAGCGAGTTCATGTGTAGAGTGGTGAGAAGCCCCCACTTCTATCAGCTTGAGGTACCCAGTGAAAGGATCAGTTTCCCTGCAAGTAGTCAGGGAAAGGGAAGCACTTAGAGTTGAGACTCTTCGGCAGCTCTATGCCTCCCTCCAACTTTCAGGATTGCAAGGAGGAGAGTTCCCCATTAGAAGTGGTGCTGCAAAATTTGGGGAGTGTGGGGTGCACCCAGCAAGCAGAGTGGTGAGCATCAGATTAGGGAAGGGAGCTGGAGATAAGAGTTCTTGTGTCTGTCACTTGGAGTTAGCCTCTGTTTTCTGCGTGTATGGTTTGGGGGACCAGCCTGCTGTCAGTCAGTTACCAGAGCATATAATTAAACCTGTGCTATCCCCTGGGTGGTTCTGGCGACTCAGCAGTGAGTCACTCTCAGCAGCAGAGCTGTTTCCAGGATCTACATTTGGCAATTTAGTCAGTGTACTCCTTCTACCCATCTTCCCCCTCTTCCCAATCGATCTTTCCTTCCTTTCTCTTGTTCCCTGTGTGTGAGGCATACCTAAGGTTCTCAGAGCCCTTTATACCCCCACACACTTTATAAATGAACCTAATTGCATTATGTTAGGGATGGAGGAGACAGCTCTAACTGAATTCACTCAGGAAGCTGAAACAGTTCTATATTTACTGTCTGAAAGTACAGTGAGCTGAGAATTTGCAAATTAGCAGGTTTTAACTTCAATCCTGAGAAGTGCTGACCTTTGTGGTGAGAAGTTGTAGAAGCAGCCTTTATGAATGCAAGGAAAGAGCAGAAACTCTGAAGAGGGGTTGGGAGAGAGTAGCAAATTCACTGGGATCCTCCTCAGTTCTCAAGGTAGGAGGCTCAGGAAAGAAGGTCTTGAGGGGCTGAGGTTGCTTCTCTACTTTTTAGAAACCTGGGAAAAAGGGAGAAAACTTTGTATGTTTTTTTATTATTATTTTATTCCTCTGGCATAGCAAGAATGGGATGTTGACCTGCTGAAAGATATTAGGTCAAGTACTGGGTGGGTAAGTGAGGAAATAAGACTTCTCTTGGTATTGCCATTTACTGCTGAATGGCCCCAAACAAGTTGCTTAACCTCTCTGGCTTTCAGCTTCTTTTCAATCAAGTGAAAGAGTTGAACTAGAATAGTCTCTATGGATTTATAGTCATAAAATTCTGTAGCTTTTAGTACTGGCAACACTTGAGAAGATATAAATGAGAAACAACTCCCTTTCTTTGACTCCATATGACGTGTGTGTGTGTGTGTGTGCGTGTGTGTGTGTGTGTGTGTGTGTGTGTTTATGAGTCTTTTAAAGATCTATCTTAAAGCAATAACTTATTTTCAGGATAATCTCATTTCCTCTTGATTCCTGTAGGATCCTATTAGTAAGAGCTGAGCCCAGCTTTGAATCTTTGCCATACTGTATGCTCAGAAGAAGAAAGATCAGCAGACGCAATTCACTGCCAGTAAACTGTTTATGGTCTTCAGCTGGGCCTTTTCAGGGAGTTTCAGATCTATCAATCTACGCCTCTCTGTCTATCCATCTACCCTATTCTATTCTATCCTATTCTTTGCTAACATTCATTCTATATCAGGCTCTTTGCTGTTTTGCAAAGACTATCTTGATTGATTCTACGGTTTAGGTTTTATTGTTTTATCTATCTTACAGAAAAGGAATCTGAAGGACAGAGATATTAAACTTCTTGCCTAAGACTGCACAGCAGTTAAATAGTAGAGCCAGGATTTAAATTTCACTTTGCACTTTTAATTATTATGGTAAACTCTATTTTATGAAGATGGTCTTGGATCATTGCATACAATGTAATTGCTGCATAAAAATAAGTGTGCTTTCATGGGTCAGATGTGGAGAATGGGGATGAAAACCACTCATTTTCAGAACTGTTTCTCTTAAGGATCAGAAAGCATTTGTTCCCTAAATGATCTTCAGCTAGGCCTTTTCAGGAAGTTTCAGATCTATCAATCTATGCCTCTCTGTCTATCCATGTACCCTATTCTATTCTAATAATCATTCTATATCAGTAGTTTTGCTGTGTTGCAGGGACTATCTTGATTGATTCTCATCATGATCCTACGAGTTAGGTTTTATTGTTTTCCCTGTTTTACAGAAAAGGAATCTGAAGGGCAGAGGCTGGCCTCCTGCCAGCCAAGGTGAAAGGCTGACACAAAGGGTCTGAGGTTGTGAGAACTCACATGCCCCCCACACATTTTCTTTTTATTATATTGAGAAAAAAAAAAACAGTTTTCTCTTTAAGTACTTCCTTAGCCATCAGTGTGTTCTTCAGCCAAGGCTCAAAGCCAGGCCATTTATGTCTAGCTGACTACAGAAGATGGCTAGTCTTGATAGCCTCACAAAGAGCAAAATAAGGGCTCCTGTGAGTTCTTCTGCCTTGTGTTCTGTGCCTTTCAAATACTGTATTAAAGTTATGCACAGATTTTCCCTAGAAGAAACAACTTGTTTCTTCATGAAACAACTTTACCTCTTGTTTCTTCATGAAACAACTTTACCTGTTGTTTCATGAAGAAACAACTAATTTCATTCTTAGATCTCTCAGGTAGTTACAACCTCAGAAAAGTTGAGCAATCTGCCCAAGATAATACAGCTAGTAAATCATGGTAAAATGAGAAAAAAATATCAAGTTTGTAGTAACAGCAGAAATGGAACATAGGCCTTTTGCCTCTGGTTTACCCTATACTTGGTAAATGTATACCTGAAGCATGTCTCTGTGGTTCTCTGGACCTCTGCACACAACCTATGTTGGGGACATGCTTCATTCTCTATCATCTTTTCAGACCCCACCCACCCCAAATAGCCCATAGAACATAGATGTCAATTTAAAAAAGGATTATATTGTTTATTTTACATATTTGAGTTAATATTTAAATGGATTTTTTCTCTCTCTTCACACTTACTAGAGGAAAAGCTTTTTTTTTTTTGTTCGTGATGTTGTATCATTTAAGATGTGTATTCTAAAATTCTATAGTTCAACTAGGTAATAGGTAAAGTAAGTGCATAAACCTGAAGTGAATTTTTGGAAAAATGTGATTAGGACCCCTAATCATAATTTTAAATAGTATTTTGAATGTGTTAAAGAGTTACTTGCAAATAGTCTTATCTATAATGAAAAAAATCCACTGAGAATGATTTACTTATGGAAGAGAAAAGGAGAAAAAAACATTGTGTTAATATTTCCATTTAAAATTAGCTAATGGGGCTGGGATTGTGGCTCAGCGGTAGAGTGCTCGCCTAGCACGTGCGGGACCAGGGATCGATCCTCAGCACCACATAAATATAAAGGCATTATGTTGTGTCCATCTACACCTAAAAAATATTAAAAAATATCAGCTAATATTTCCCCATATCTCATCTATAAGTTTTAAGCATTTCAATCATATTATATTTTATTTTAAAAAATGTAAATCCAAAAACATGAAGTTCAAAAATAAGGAGAACATGGCCAACTACCTTTTAATATTACTGTTTATCACTATAAAAATCGCTTGGAATAAAATTTATTACCCTCTGTTTCAGAATGAAATTTAAAACCTGGTATAAGATACACATAGGAAGAGAAGTCTATTGTTCATCCCTTTTCTCCTTTCAAAAGTGTCATTCATTTCTCTTAATTAAATGTTTCTTGAGTCTTTGTTATAGACTGATAATATAAACATTTTATATCCCATTTTCTATCCTAGCAAAAAAGAGAAAGTAATAATTGAAGGTATACTCTAAAATATCTGCTTATGACATTAAATTTGTGATGTCCTTGTAGAGTTTTTCTTGAATTAGAGTTCTTTGGTTTGCATAGTAATTTTTCTTTTTGGAACTTAAAGTGCCTTAAAGTTAGATTCCATTTTGCTGAATTCATAAATATCTTTCTTGTGGTGACTGAACTCTTAAGGTGCTTTGGATGGGTAGAATATACTTAAGTGTTAAATTTAAATGAAAGTTGAATTCTTTAGGGAATTATTCCTTTCTTGGTGAGCTGAAAAAAATTGTGAATTTGTTTGACTCCATCTTTTCATTTTGTAGTTGAGAAAACTGAGATTCAAAGAGCTAAAGGAAGTTGTTAGAAATAGCACAGTTCTTTTTTCTCAAGTTAGAATTAATGGGAACCAATATTCATTGAGCACCTGCTTTATGATTGATGTTTTACCTGTACCACTGCATTTCATTCTTAGATCTCTCAGGTAGTTACAACCCCAGAAAAGTTGAGCAGTCTGCCCAAGATAATACAGCTAGTAAATCATGGAGTCAAAATCAAATTTACATCTACCCAGCTATAAAAACACTATAATTTTTCCATTACTACACGATGCTTTCTATCTTTTTATTCCTAATTTTGTTTTCACCTTTCTCTTTAAAAATATAAGATGGTATTGGCTGGAGTCAATTCTTATATTTGGCCTAAATAAGTGATATTTACTTATTCATTTTTGGTCAATGATACAATCAGATATATTATATAGTGAGAATAATATTAGAGTTAACCACTTTGCCTCATGTGCCCATTTTGTCTCTGGCTGGCTGTATTATCTGTTTGGAAATCAGTGTCTGCATAATTAAAATGTGGAAATAGGATTGATGATCTTTTCTTGTCTTTTAACTTTATTCTATAAGTTCTTAAGTGCCCTATCCAAATGATCAACAAGCAGTTTTGGAAAAAGGGCTAGTTTATGTAAATCCAGTATGTTGTTAAATGATATTGATGGAGGAGGAATGTCAGACCTGGTATTTGGCTTTATAATACTTTACAGAAAACCCAAAAAATATATACTGAGTTAAGTATGTAAATTAATGAAAATGAGAATTCCATTTCAAAATAAGAATAAATCTGA